AAAATTGAAAGAAGATGAAATTTGACAGCCTTCCAACTTGGAACTGGGCTGTTTTTTCTTCTCTGGCCTAATTTCTCTTCCCTGGAAAGACATTTGATCCCATTTCTAAAACCAGAATTACTAGCTCAACTGTGCTGTGGGTGCTGAAATGCTCTCCAGAGGGAACCTATCTGGGTTTGGTTTCTTTTGAAAGAAGGGCTCCAAGAAAATGGTAGGGTGTTTTTTGTATTTTGCGTATTTGGGGGGGGGGTGTTCCTCACAAATGTACAACTTAATTTAAACAGAGAGAAACAGCATGACACAGATCTAAATGACATAATCTGAACTGGAGGAGGAAAGGGGCTATGATGAAGCCATTTAATAAATACATTTGATAAAGACATACCCAAAGGAAGGGACTAGGGGTCACATGATAGCAGTCTTCCAATATTTGAGAGGTTGTTAACAAAGAAAAAGGGGACAACCTATTTTCCAAAGCACAAGAGGCAAGACAAAAAGCAATGGATGGGACTAATCAAGGAGAGAAGTAACCTAGATTGAACTAAGGAGAAATTTCCTGAGAACAATAAACCAGTGGAATGGCTTGCCTTCAGAAGCTGTAGATGCTACAGCACTGGAGGATCTTAAAAAGAGACTGGACAGTCATTTGTCTGAAATAGCATAGAGTCTCCTGCTTGAGCACGGAGTTGGACTAGAAGACCTTCAAGGTCGCTTCCAACTCTGTTTTTCTGTAAAGCCAGATTGTCAAACTGGGTATCCATAATTGTCCTCAAGGTGAAATTTGACTACTGCAGCATAGAATGGTAATACTGCACTTCAAAATTCGCATATGCTCCAGATTTGTGTTTTTAACAGCTTCATCCTATGGCTGTCTCCTGTTTTGCAGGTACAAAAAAACTCTTGGCTTCTTTTCATAGGTGCAGCTAGAAGGCATGTGTCACTTGTCCTACATTTGGAGTAAATAACTATTTCTAGTGCAAAGCTGTACATTCAGTACAAAAGCCAATTTGTATGGTGGTTAAAAGCACCAAGATAAAAACCAAGCAACTGTGAGTTTTAGTCCTGATTTAGACAGCCAGTCACCTAGTGAGCTTGGACCAGACTTTCTCCCTCAAACCAAGAACCAGTTTGACGTACAGATGAAGGTGCTGGACTAGAAACAGTGAACCTGAGTTCTAATCTTGTTTTGGGCATCAAGTCAATTGGGTGTCTTAGGGCTGGTCATTTTTTCTCAGCCCTAAGAAGAAGCAAACAATGTCAAGGCACATCTGAAAAATGTGGCCAAGAAAACTGCAGGAGACTTGCCCCAGTGCTTACCAGGAGTCAAAATTGATTCAAAGGCGGAAAAAAGAAGTGTACATGTATTACTGAAACTTATTTGGTTAGTTTAAGCCCAGTTTTCCACCCCCTTCAATCCAGATTCCTTTGTTGTTGTTGCTGCTGCTGCTGTTGTTAAAGAATGAAAAATGAAACCAGCAGGTTTCTTCTTGCTGAAATCATCCATTGTTCGAGTATCGTTACCCAACTGCTGAATATTCAAGACTGAGGAATGGAGTTTTGAATGTTGCATGACCTTTGGGCTTAAAGTACAGGTAGTCCTTGACTTACAACAGTTCGTTTAGTGACCGTTCAAAGTTACAACAGCACTGAAAAAAATGACATATGATCATTTTTCACACTTACAACAGTTGAAGCATCCCTATGAATCAAAATTCAGATGCTTGGCAACTGGTTCATATTTATCATGGTTGTGGTGTCCCAGAGTTATATGATCAATTTTTGCGACCTCTAATGAGCAAAGTCAATGGGGAAACCACATTCATTTAATAATGAAGTTATTAACTTAACAACCGCAATGATTCACTTAACAACTGTGGCAAAAAGGTCATAAAATGGGGCAAAACTCACTTAACAAATGTCTCAATTAGCAACATAAATTTTGGGCTCAATCACACTTTTTTTGCTTTGCCCTTCATGCTTACAAAACTAATACTGTGTCACATTCTGGTTACACAATCTTTAAAAATAAGCTTGGATTCTGCTAATCGTGGACTGTGTAAAAATAAATGTTTGTTTTTTGTGGTTTTTGTTTTTGCTCTCATCTATTCAACATAAATTGAAACTCTTGATTCATCCAGTAGAGGGTAATAGTTACTCATCTTTTATCAAAGGGTTGACAGCTTGGCTGGGCCATGGATTCTGGGATACTGGTGTCTTAGGTTTAAAGTTTTGTAGAATTTTGTCCAAAACAGACATCATCTTAGGTCTCAATTTTAGTGGCAGACACCTCTTCACCCCTGTAACAAATCAACACATGTAAAGAAAGAATGGCAACTTGAGCAAGGAGTGATAAATTGCAGTTTCTTTTTTTTTTTTAGAACATGATTACGCTTATGCAGGTAAAATAGGAGCCCTGTCAACATTTTGTCCAACCTTGCCTGCACAAATCCAGAACGAGACTGTGAAGGTCCCTGGGACATTGGGATAATAATGGGATAGGCATTATTAAAGGTCTCAGGATATAGAACAAAGATGAAAATGGATTTGAAACTAAACTGTACCATGAACATTGTGGGAACTAAGTATGTCTAACCTAACAAACAGAGGAACCAGGGGTGACATGATAGTAATCTTCCAGTATTTGAGGGCTCTGATGAAGAACAGTGGGTTGACTATTCTCCAAAGCACCTGAGGGCAGGACAAGAAGTAACAGATGGAAACTTATCAAGGAGAGATCCAATCTAGAACTAAGGGAAAATTTCCTGACAGTGAGAACAATTAATCAGTGGAAGGGCTTTCCTCCAGAAATTGTGGGTGCTCCATCACAAAACGTTTTTAAGAAGAAATTGGACAGCCATTTGTCCAGAATGGTATAGGGCAGGGCTCTTCAAACTTGGCCCTTTTATGACTTGTAGACTTCAATTCCCAGAATTCCTCAGCCAGCATGCCTGGCTGAGGAATTCTGGGAGTTGAGGTCCACAAGTCATAAAAGGGCCAAGTTTGAAGACCCCTCGTATAGGGTTTCCTGCTAGAGACCTTCCAATCCTGTTACTCTATTGTGCTTTTCTACTGTATGTTATTTTATTTCTTGCCCAACTCTTAACCCATTAACTTTAGTCATACAAATAATTTCTCACTGTAGGGTAGTGATGGCAGCATGTCAAAAATTCAGAAAATGGTTAACCTGACTCTGCTGGCATGGCACTTCCCCTCAACAAAAGGGAAACAATTCCCTACCTATTCATTTATTTTTTAAAAAAAACATAGTGCAGTCATGTATGATGTTATGTATTATATAAGAAAATGTCAGCTAAATGCAAAAATGAAATAGAAGTAAAAATCATTTCTGGAGACTCTGGAGACCACGTGAGAGCACGGCTCTATTCTCTGACTCCTGGAGAATCCAGAATCTGCATGCGATCACACTCCATTCTCACACAGCCTCCACAGCCTCTGAACATTACACAAGAAAGGGGGGTGTTTTTGAAAATAGTTGTGTTGGGAGTTGGTGGATGCTGGTTTGTCGCCCAAACTTTGACACATAGGATTGCCATCACTATTGTAGATGCTCAGGGTACCACAATGTTTGGGAATCCCTGTGTTTCCCGTCCCTTTGAAGAAATCTGTGGTGTTTCTGGTCACCAAGAAGATGAAGAATCACAAAAGGCCATTTGTTCATAGCTCTGGATGTCCAAGGTTCCTACTTAGCCATAAAATCTTTCTTAGATTTGCCTTTTTCCTTTACTCCATGGAGTTACTATAAGAACAATTCCATTCTGATGAATTGGTCAAAACCCTTTGGTGGAAAGGAACAAGAAGGCTTTAAAAAAATTAATGTGAGGATTCCTTAATAAGCCTAAACCTACTTTCCTGCAGCAGGTCTAGAAGAAATTCTTCCAGAGGGCCTTTGAAACCAATTAGAAAAGCATCATAAGACATGTTTAAATTTTGTTCCGGTTCTAAATTAATGATAAATGCTGATTATGTTGTAATTATTATTACACTATTATACTGTGGAATTTTCTTGTTTTATAAACCACTGACAATTATGGGGTCTAAAAAGTTAATAAATATATAAATAATACGCCTATTCTGAAGAACTGCTAGATATCTTGCTTCATTTCCTTGGTCAGTAAGGAATGGAGAATTGGTTTCTCTGTTGTCACAGCACCTTCAACCATCCCAGAGTGCTGGCAGGCAGGCAGATCTTCCTTCGAGGGATTCTGAATGGACAGTATGTAATTTCTGAGAATGGTGAAGGAAGTTTTAATATGTAGATCAGACATGTCAAACACAAGGCCCGGGGGGTGGATGCGGCCCGCGAAGTGGTTTCATGTGGCCTGCGAAGCCATCCTAGAAACAGTGAGGGAACGGCCCCCGCTGCCTTGGCCCTGGTCCAGGCCAGCCGGGAGCCAATGTACAATTTTGTGGTGGCCATCTTGGCACTTGCCCCGGTGGACCATGCCTTGGCACTTGCCCCAGTCCCACCCCCTTCTGCCAGAGACCCTCAGATCTGTCCCACTCCTGCCCAGGCCCCCATAGGCACCCTTGACGTGAATGATGTAGAACTGGCCACACCCACCCATTAGCCATACCCACGCCATCCACACCCACCCAGTAGGCTGCACCCACTCTGGCCACACCCACCCGGCCCCCCAAGGGCAACCGCAATGCTGATGCAGCCCTCAGTGAAATTGAGTTTGATACCCCTGATGTAGATAACTAAATTCTCTGCTCTGCACAAAAGGATTCATGAATTTCTAGTGAAAGTTCCACTTTCTAAGATTTAATCCTGAAACCATATCTGCCGTATAGTTACCATATCCCTACCACACAATCCCATGAGGTAACTTGAGGAGAGGGGAGGGGAGGAGAGGCCCAAAACCATCCAGAGAATTCTATGTCTCCCCAGTTTCAGTTCAGTGTCTAAGCACTACTCTGTTTAGTGTAATACATGTTAAGAAATGTACTTTGTCTAAATGTCCTCTCTTGTCCTTCAGAATCTACAAAGCCCAGTTGTTGATGCAAATATTTCTCAACAAAACTGGATGACCCAAGAGATCCCTGTCATTAAGGAACATCTTCCACAAACTCAAAACAACATCTATGAAATCTCTCTTCCCAAAATGAAATCCAGCACCAGGGATAGTCTCTTCAATTCCCCCCAGAACACACAGCTCAGTTATGAAGATCAACATGAGCAGAGTGGTCAACAAGTGATCTTACAACAAGAAATGAGACCTGAGGACAAAGAAGACGAGATTCTTGACTTGGATCATCCTGATGTGAAGGTTGAAAATGGATGGAAGAAGTTAGACCCCACGGGAGATCACTCTCAGTGTATAGCCAAATCTATAAATGGAAGGACAGATCACTGGACACCACACCCAAACAGAGAATCCAAGTTGGAAGTGCTCAAATCTGGCTCACTCTATGACATCCGGGCTTACAAAGGGGAGAAGAAACCTTCCAGACTCTATGAAGAAGATGATGAAGAGTTGCAGTATAAGATTCCCTCCAAGGATGTCTCACCAGAAATAGCCAAAGAACTGGAAGATGAACGGCAGGAGATTATCAGGAGACAAGTTGTGAGAAAAAGCAACACAATGGCAGAAAAATGGAGCTCCATGAATGAGTTGGAAGCTGTTGACACGTCCTCTCTTGGCAAAGTTACAACAGAACCCAGGAAGAACTACCCCACTAGCTTTGCTCTTTGTTTTGACAATCCTTCCCCAGACTGGACAATCATCCCTGTCAATCCTGAAAACATAGACACAGAACAGATAAATTTTGCTGCTGCCCGACAGCAGTTTCTTGCACTAGAAAAGACTAATCCAAAGATGTTGATGGAACCCAAGAGACACGTTCCTTCTCCAAGGGAGCTGAATGCAACAAGCCACGTTTATGGGAGCAAAGAACCTCAGAATCCTGAAATGCCAAGGATGGATAAGGAATTTGATGAGTACAGCCAGAGACAATTGAGAGAAAACTCAATGGGAGGAAACCTTCTCATTCTCCCCCAAGGAGAAGCCAATTCTTATTCAGAGACTACTTTCATTTCTGCTGAAAAGATGCCCTCTGGCTTGGAGGTTGATATGAGTCCAGGGAATGTTAATGAGAGGACATCCAAGAAAGAATCAGGAAATCCTCTGGCCAGGGGCCAAGATCCTGCAAAAGAGCCAGAAGTTAGGAATGAGACCCCCATCGAGCGGGAAATCAGATTGGCCATGGAGAGGGAAGAGAACCTTTGGAAGGAGAGGGGCATCCAGCGAATCAGTGCCAGAGATGATCTGGTGGAGATCCGATCCAAGCCGCTCCTCTCCTCCCCAGTCTCTTCTCCAGCTTCCTCCAGGAAAGGGAAGGATAAACCTCACATTTCCTTTTATGTCCAGAGGGAGATTGAGCAGGAAGCCAAGCGTGAGGAGGACCTGCAAAAGGAAGGGAGGTTGCTGGGAACGTATGACCGAGGACTTTGCCAAGAGCTTGCAGAACGTCGGAAAATATTTGAGCGGGAGGAAGAAGAGGCCCCCCTGCCTTCTCTGGGCAAACAAAAGAAACAGGGGGAGCTGCTGGAGACCCTGCCTGCAGACTCTGCACCACTCTATTGCAATGTTGTTCCACCCAGACAGGACAGAGAAAGAATTGCAAGCCAGAATGTGAACTGGAGCTCGGAGATCCATCAGCCCTCTTCAGTTCCAGTTGTTGGCAAGAAAACCCCAGGAAATGGACCAGCCTTAAAAACGTGCTCCAGTGCTTTTTCCCCAAAGATGGATTTCCATAGCCGAAGCCCTCCCTGCAGCCAAGATTTGAAAGTTTCAAGGGACAAGTTTGTGTTAAAGAAGGAACATTTTGCCATTCCGGTTCGGAAATTCCAATTCTCTTTTCCTGAGGATCAGGGACCCCAAAGCCTTCAGAGGAAAGAGCATAAGCTTCAGAAAGCAGCTCCACGGGAGGAGCTCTATACGCTGAAGACATGGCGGCCCCGGACATCCATTCTGATTGACCAGGAGATCCAGGATGCTTTGCAAAGAGAATTGGAACTTCAAGAGCAGAGGAAAAAAATCAGTTTGACTGCAGAGGAGCTCCCAAGTTCACGGGTGTCGTCCCAAAGTTCAGGTAAGAGAAACAGAGAATAACAGTAAAAGCATGGTGGGTTCTGACCAATGATGTAGCATAAGTGCAGGAGACATCGTAGTGCCTGCTGTCATGTTTGAAAATGTCTCCTTACAACCATGGGATTGTATGGTTCAAGGATGGTTATTGCTCAAGAGACTTCCAGTATTAACTGAGTTAATAAGAGTGCAAGTCAGCATTTGACACGGTTGGTCCAAATCGTTGGAGCTTTTTTCCTTGAGAGATATATTTGACAATTTTTTGAGCTCTGTTCTAAAATCTTGTTCTGTGTAGGACAGATAAGCTGCTTTTAATATAACACTGCTCTTCTTTCAACTGACTTTTTAAAAATGGGGGCAATATTCTTCAGTCTAAAATGCTATCCTGCATTTTCAGGCCTTTTTCCTTCCTTTAAATGACTGAGATCAGTATATCTCATTATGCTTTGTTTAAAGCTGGTTTACAGTGATCTAAAATAGTATAGGAAATCGTCGATTTACAGCCATTTGTTTAGTGACTGTGGTCACTAAAGGTGGTCTATAAATACCCAAAGAAACTCATTGGGGATGTGACCTCCAGTTCAATACAGCAAGTCCTCAGGTTAACAACGCCTCGGTTTAAGGCCAATCCACAGTTACAGATGGAGCCTATTGTAGCAAAATTGCCCCCTACTTTAAACACTCTTTCATAAGGCTCTGAAGGCCTGGTGTTGCCAACAGGCCTGAGGAACCCAGAGTGGGATAAAGCCCATCAAGTGGTTTCTTTGACTGATCACAGGGGTAAAGAGTATTGTTTTTCATTGTTTGTATATTGGTTTTTATTTCTGTAAACCTCCCAGAGTCACTGAGAATGAGTGGGTGGCCATATAAAGTTTCCTAAATAAATAAATACTAAATTTTGAGTTAAATACACAATGATTAAAGTTCCTTGCACCATACTATTTATTCAGTATTGTATAATAATGGTGTTCAGGTTTATATACTTATTTGACTCAAGGACAGAATTAAACTGGGGACTATCTAAATAAACAATATAGCCAAGGATTAGAAGGAGAATTAGAGGAGAAGTGGTGCAACAGTACCCACAATTTGATATAAAAATGCAGCATTGATGGAAAAGGTAAATCTTCAAACTTATAGCATGAGTGGGGAAAATGAAATCCTAGCAACGGTCCCTTGAAGGTCTGTGGCCCAGTATTAAATTTATTTCATATCCAAAGGACTTCCATCACCCCATATGTTTTATTCTGGGAGGCATAAAGTCAAAGGGAAGAGCTGGAGGCAAACTGGACTTGGTATCAATCACATACAAGTAGTTAACAGAATAACAGAGTGGGAAGGGACCTTGGTTCTTGACTTACAACCACAATTGGAACCCTAATGTCTGTTGCTAAGCAAGGCAGTTATTCAGCGACTTACACCCATTTTATGACTTTTTTTCCCCCCACAGTAGTGAAGCAAATCACTGCAGTTGTTCAGTGAATCATGTGGTCAATAAGCAAATCTGGCTTCCCCTGTTGACTGGGCTTGTAGCAAGCCAGCTGAGAAGGTCGTAAATGGCGATCACATGATACTTTTGTATTTATAAAATGCAACTGACATAAGTACATGCCGATTGCTAAGTGCCCAAATTTTGATCACATAACTGTGAGGATGCTGCAATGGTCATGTGCAAGGACCAGTTGTAAATTGCTTTTTTCAGCACTTTTGTAACTTCAAAAGATCGCTAAACAAATGGTTGTAGGTCAAGGACTATCTATAGTCAGCTATTATGTAATGTAGCCAAGATTTTTTTTTGGGGGGGGGGGGGGAGTAAAACATCAACTGAGGGCCTGAACAGAGTGCAGATTTGGACAAAGTTTTTGCAAAAATAAAAATCTTCTCCATTCAATTCAGAAAAACCAAATAAATAAGTCCCCCAATAACAGCCATGAATTGGATACAGGTAGTAAGGAAGTAGAGCAGGGGTGTCAAACTGCCGGCCCGCAGGCCGGACGCGTCATAAGGAAACCGCGCCCACCCCATTGCCAGCAATGGGGAAAAAGCTCTGATACGTCGCGTGACGTCACGTGATGTCACAAGTTTGACATGTCTAAAGTAGAGGAACTCAGGCGCAAAACCGGTTATATAGAAAGTAAACACAGGGTCAGTCAAAGAGGACTCAAATGTCTATACACCAACGCACAGAGTATGAGCAATAAACAGGGTGAATTAGAAACTCAAGTAAATGAGGGCAGATACGATATTGTTGCCATTCCAGAAACTTGATGGGATGAAATCCACAAATGGAACACACAGCTAGAGGGATTTAAATTATTTAAAAGAAACAGACCAAATAACAGAGGAGGTGAAGTTGCACTCTATATAAGAAATAACAACATCTCTACAGAAATAAAGCACAACAATGATGAAAACTGTCTTGAATGCATTCAGGTCAATATAAAAGGGGGGGAAATGACATTGCTATAGGTGTATACTAGGCCACCCAACCAAACAGAGGAAATAGATGAACTTTTTGCTAGTCAGTTAACTAAGATATGTAGGAAGCACATCACAATAGTAATGGGCGACTTTAACTCTCCTGACATCAACTGGGAGACAACTGCCCTCAGATTTTTGCATATCTACTGTTACTTTAAAAATATTCACAGAATTGCTAGGTGCATGGAAAACATCATGTCCAGTTGCCAATCAGAGGACAACAAATGATAATGAAAAAGCCCCAAGTTCAGATTTCACTCCAATACAAGCTCCACCTTTTTTCTTTCCACCTGACTCCTTCTAGGACAGTGATGGCGAAACGTTTAGAGACCGAATGCCCAAACTGCAACCCAAAATCCACTTATGTATCATCGGGTTCCTGGTGGGTGTGGCCCATTGGGTGGGTGTGGCCAATTGGGTGGGCATGGCTTCAGTGGTAACGGCAGACTGGGTGGGACTAAAAAGTTCAATCAATCAATTCCAACTTTGCGAGATCTTTTTTTTCCCCACGAAAAATTGAAATTGATTGATTGAACCTTTTTTTTTATTTTGCACATGGCGGCGGAGGCCTAAAGCAAAAATGTTTTATAAAACCCAGCTGAAAGCCTAGGACTGGGACAGTGCGCATGCCCACAGAGAGGGCTCTGCGTGCCACCTGTGGCACGCGTGCCATAGGTTCGCCACCACGGTTCTAGGATTAGCAAAGGCCTTGTGAAGAAGTGGCTAGGCAGGATTTTAACTCTCCTATACTTTTCCTCCTTAGCTGCATCAGGAGATACTGGCAGATACTCTGTCTCCTCTTCACCTGTTTTTGTTCCTAATTCGCCTGTGAGGTTACCTACTTCACCCATCCTATACCGAGCAAGTTTGACAACAAACTCCCCTGAATCAAGCTTCAGAAGGTGCCAGAGTCCAACACAACCCAGGATAAGACCAAAGGAGGATAGAAAGGTAATGAGCGGGAAAGGATTTGAATTAAAGGAGGGTGGCCTTAGACAGGAAGAGGAGATTCTAGCAATAATGGTCAGGATGGCTACCTGAAGCCTCCAGGTTCAGAGACAGTTTATCTCAAAACACTACTAGTCAAGGAACAACAGAAGTATCTTAAAGACCAGACTGTGACTGTTGCTAGAGGCAACAAGAATGGTGGCTAAACAGGCTGATCTTTGATACGAACCACAGAACTCCAACAAAAGAGAATATCTGTACTTCAGGGTTGAACTGTGGAGTTCTTAGTGCTCTCTGAGCATGGTTGTTTGATTGCAGATGTGTCATTACCCAACTAGGTGACATCATCAGTGCTAGCGAGTGTGGGGTTTTCTCCCTGTTTATGTGCAGTAGCTTGCCCACCCAGTGTTTGGGGGTACGTATTTTACTCCTTGGTAGTTTCTTGATTAGGGTATTATTTTCTCCATAACTAAAAGGAGGTCAGAATCTGGGTTTTTATAAGGCCAGCCTAACATTATGCTTATTATTCACAATGTGATTTGCTTCAGAAACATCCTAATGAAATGCAAGTTTCTGAATGTAAATTTGGACTGATGCTCTTTGCACATTCAGTTCATATAAGGCACTGCAAGAGCGGATGTAATACTCTACATAAAGCAAGATCAGGAAATCTTGTTCAAAGCTGGGGGGTAGAACATTCTTTTTGTGCCCTAGAGACCATAGAGGATATAGTCATAAAAATAGGCTTGGCCATGTGATGACCCTCTTTACGACAGTCATGACCTATGACCTTAATTGCTAGGCTCAGTTACAGTCCTAAGTCAAAGACTATCTGTATGCCATACTTGGCTGCAAAAAGGCTGTCAGTTACATGAACATCCATTTTAGCTTAAAAAATATGGGCGGAGAGTCAATCTTGCCCACAGTTTGCAAACTATGATTTTAACTTCTGCCTTCTAACTTCTTGTTCCTTTCCCCTATTTTCTAGTATGCTGGTATCGAACTCAACGATGAGATTGACACTGAGGTAAACTTTCTGGGAAGAAGTATATCTTGGCATTGCTTTTGGGTAACAGGAAAAAGATACCGTGTTTCCCCGAAAGTAAGGCCTGCCCCAAAATAAGTCCTAGCTTGATTTTGGGGGATGGGCCTAATATAAGCCCTACCCCAAAAATAAGCCCTAGTTTTGGGGCGAGGTACACTTAAAAATCAAGCTAGGGCAGGGGTGCGGGAAATGGAGCTGCCCCACGTACCCTGCAACCACTTACCTTATAGCCAGGCCTCTTCTCGCCAGCCCACTTCTTCTCTGGCATCTTTTGCAGCCAGGCCTGCATTTCTCAGTCACAGGCCTTTCCGGAAGGCCTCTGCAGCCAAGGACTGAGCTATGAATTGAATCCACAGCTCGGTACTCAGCTGCAGAGGCCTTCCGGAAAGGCCTGACTACAAAATGCAGGCCAGAATGAAGCTGCAGAATGAAGCTGCTCCTTTGGCTCCAGAAGAAGTGGACCTGCTGGGTGGGGCTGTCGGTGCCGGAGGTGAGTAAGACATCCCCCCAAAATAAGACCTGGTGCCTCTTTTGGAGGAAAATAAAATGACCCGGTCTTATTTTCGGGGAAACAAGGTACTAGTTTGAGGACCTTTCCCCCTGGAATCTAACCACCTTCTCTGGCCCTTTTTTTACTTGCGGTTTCCCTTGATGGTGCCTTCATTGCATCACCGGCCCATAATGCAGACAGACTGAAATTATTCTTAACTATCATAGTGTTTTCTCCTTAAGCAACCCACAAATTGCAGCAGTTTTACCACGGGTAAAATCAGACACCCTTCACTGACTATATTGGCAATAGCGTGGCCAGGTCCCCTTTTCCTTACCATCTGTAGTTTTATTTATTTTATATATTTATCAAATTTATTGACTGCCCATCTTACCCCAGAGTAACTCTGGGTGGTTTGCAATATTAAAAAAGATAAAATTTTAGAAAACCTGTACATAATGGAAACTAAATAATCTAAGAAGATAAACACTCATCCCTAACTAAAAAATTGGGGTGGGGAGGGGTAGAGAGTAGGATAAACAGGTGTGGAGGTGAGATCTGTTATTAGTCTGTCAACTACCTCTAATGTCCCCTCCTGTCCCCTGCTATGTCTCCCAAGGCTGGAAGAGGTGGCATCGGAAGCGAATTGAGTTCTCACAACTATTCCCATAGATTTACTTTTATGAAAATCTTTGCCCATCACAGCAAAGTCTCCAGAGCCATATCCAATCCATCCATTTTCTGATTCTAACCCAGGGGTAGGCAACCTCGGCTCTTTTATGACTCGTGGACTTCAACTCCCAGAATTCCTCAGCCAGTATGGCTGGCTCAGGAATTCTGGGATTTGAAGTCCACGAGTCATAAAAGAGCCAAGGTTGCCTACCCCTGTTCTAACCTAAGCTCCATCCCTGGCGACTAAATGGGCACACCATAAAATTTTACTGGCAAAGGCATAGAAGTGGTGGCTCTTGCTTTGATCTGCAGGGGTTTGGGTTATTTTTGTTTTTGACTCAGTTTGTAGCCCTGAAATGACATGATGATCTCCCAGCCATTTGCTGAGCAGATACAGTCCTGCTTGGTTTTTCTGGGGAGTTAATCAACATGCTGCTACATACTGTGCCTAATGGTGGATCTTAAATACTGTCCCTGGGTATGGCTAAATTGTGAGTCACCATCCGCTCTCCTTCTCTCTGTATATATACTGTAAATGGAAAGGCTGGAACAGGAGTGTTCTTCCTATCTGATGGAGGCTTTGCTCTATCACAGGTTATGAAATCCATCAAGCCGATCTGCCGGAGGAGCGCCCTGGCTCAGCTTTGGGAAACAGGGCAGATCCGGAACATAGACGATGACAGCGACTGATGAAACCATCCCCATTCTGTTATGCAATTCAAGCAAAGAATCAGATCTGCCAAAACGACTCTGGGCATGGTGCCAGCAAGGCTTCCTTCTGAGTTCTACACATTTAAAACTTCCTTCCACCTCTCTTTTAATTTAATTCAGTGATCAAATCTTTCCGACTAACTCAGTGTTTCTCAACCTTGACAATTTTAAGGCATGTGGACTTCAACTCCCAGAATTCCACAGCCAGCAATGCTGGCTGTGGAATTCTGGGAGTTGAAGTCCACATGCCTTAAAATTGTCAAGGTTGAGAAACACTGGACTAACTTAATTCAATCACAAAACTCTTGTTTCTTCAATTATAAGAAGTTCTCTGTGGCACAGTATGATCTGATCTTGCCCAAAGTTTCTGGGGTACCCTTCCTATAAAGCCTGTTACCAGAGTTGGCGGCTGCCTGCCATTTTCTTAAAAATCAGATCGCCTGAAATCCAGCGAAAAGCTTTGTAAAATCAGAGAATATGACTGAGCAATATTTTAATCTCTGTACTTTTCAGTTAAGCACTGACTGGGGAAAAAAGGTGGCAAAAAGAATAGAAACAACCAACCAACCAACCAAGAGAATACAGCACTGAATGAATTTCTCATCTTATGGTGCATGGACTTCCTCATCCCTTAATTTTTAAGGTCTTAGGAATGTCTCAGTAGTTGGACATTGGGCAAATAGGCTGCACCTCTGGATTTATGTTTCTATGTGTATTATGTCCTGATTTCTTGAGAGCACTAAAACTCCCAGTTGGAAAGATCATATTGACTGGGAATTCTGGAAGTTGCAGTGCCAATACATCTAGAAGGTACAAAGTTAGGGAAGACTACTTTACAGGCAGGCAAGTGTATGTCAGATTAACTTTGCTCTGCTTTACCAATCATGTCCTCTTAATTTATGGTTCAGTGTATTGTGGCTTAAGCAGGTAACATGAACACAGGATCCTGCGAAGCTGTGTGCATTAGCAGCCGAAAGTTTCAAAGGGAATCCTTGTTTCTTTGCAAAGAAAAATATAGCCGTGGACCTCCCACATTTTGTATATTGTTATAGTGTTTCCAAATAGAGATTGCCTAACCTTTTCTATCTAAACTAAAGACATTCTGCAACTATTCCCATTCTGTCAACAGATTTTATGGTTAAAACCCCCCCCCCCGAAAAGATAGAAGGATTATAAACAGAAGATGACTTTGTCTATTTATGCAATAATCTTGTCTCTTTTATGGCTTTATGAGAGTTCCAGGGCATTTTCTCCCCCATTTGTCATCCTTTTCACATAGCTTCTACCATTTCTTTTCTTGCCTTGTGAACAAAATGTTAATGTGGGGAAAATGGGATTGTAGCAAAAGGGCAGCCTAACGAAATTGGGACAGTTAGGTTAAACAGATTTGCATTAAGTTGTTCATCCAGGAGGAACTTAACATTCTCCCAAATGCAAAAGCAGAAAAACTATCTGTGTGCTTTCATGGGACCAACTACATTTCCTTTCTTCTTTCTTTGGATTTATCCACCAAAATGGCCATCCTTATTCAGCTTACAGAGTATATATAGCACACCCAGCTAGTGTTGATTTCACTCTGGAAACCTTAAATGGCCTTTCCTCAAAAACAAATTATAAATCACTGAATTGGTGATCCCCCTTTAAAAAAAGACAAATAAATTAAGTATCTTGGAGGCTGAACTCTTAACCTTAACCCTCTCTTATAGCACATGCCCTTTTCCCCCAACCAAAATCAGCCTGCTACAGCTTTCCACTATCCTTAATGTTATTGTTTTTTCAGCACTTATAGGAAAATGTTGGGGCTGAAAGATCAAGAGAAGTTGTTGGAACATGGAGGAAAAGTAAACAAAGTATGTAAGATGAGTACATTTATAGCAAAATATACTAGCTGATGCTTTGAGGAAGGATGTTTCAGTTTCCAAGGAACCCTTGATTAGGTTTCATAAGAGAGGGGGGGGGGAGGGAAAGTTCTCTTGAACTTTCAGCCTGGTGAAATGGAATGTGTGACCTTGGGGAACGAGATGCTACCTCGGAATCCATTAGACAATCAAACCAGTCAATCAATCAATCAATCAGAATAGAGCTCGAAGGGACTTTGGAGGTCTTGTCCAACCCCCTGCTCAAGCAGGAGACCCTATAGCACTTCAGACAAGTCTCTTAAAAATCTCAAGTGATGAAGCACTCACAACTTCTGACAGCAAACTGTTCCACTGGTTAATTATTCTCACTGTCAGGAAGTTTCTCCTTAGTTCCAGGTTGCTTTTCTCCTTGATTAGTTTCATCATTTCTTGTCCTGCCCTCAAGTACTTTGGAAAATAAGTTGACCCCCTCCTCTATGTGGCAACCCCTCAAATACTGGAATATTGCTATCATGACCCCCCCCCCCAGTCCTTCTTTTCTCTAGATTAGCCAAACCCAAATCCTGTAACCATTTTTCATATGTTTTTATCTCCCGGCCTTTAGTTGCTCTTCTTTGCACTTTTTCCAAAGTTTCTTAGGAAGGAGTAAGCAGTTAAAAGTGGCAAGGAGAAGTTTGTACCTTCAGACTTGCAAGATTGTGTTTATCTTTCTGTTAATGTAGCCTTACAATAAAATAAGAATTAGTTCATCTAGTCCAGTGGTTCTCAACCTTTTTAATGCCGCGACCCCCAACCGGTCGTAAGTCGAGGACTACTCAAACGGTCGTAAGTTGAGGACTACTCAACTGGTGCAGCACCGTTTGCAGAATGGGACTTTTGGCGGGCTCAGCAGGGCAGAGACAGCCTGGACAATTCCTATTGGCTTTTGAATTAGACTTTATTCAAGAGAGTCTATTCTATTGGCTTTCAAAAGCTAATAGAATAAAAGGGAGTAGCACAGCTAAGGAAAAGGGGGAAAAAAATGGTAGACTGCGTTGTTTGGCGACCCCCGTGAAATGGTCGTTCGACCCCAAATGGGGTCCCGACCCACAGGTTGAGAACCACTGATCTAGTCTATGTCTCCTGTCTGCTTTACTTGAGAGGGCGGACAGCAATTTTGCAAGTCTGAAAGTACAAAGTTCCCACTGACACTTTTAACTGTTTGGTGTCTTGTAACTTCTTTCTCTGATCTTTAAGCCACTGGGAGCTCCTGCCTCTCTTGTCTGATTGTTCCTGAGGTGGCATCTCTTCCCCTCTTTCCCAAAGGACATGCACACATTTCATTATGTTGCCTTTTAAGCAGGGGTTCTGGGATGTTTTTAATTAATACATTCCATGGCCTGATTTTTAAAACCCTCCTGGAGTAGCTGATAGCTTATATAGTTAAGAAGTTGCTCCTGAAGTCCAGTCTGAATTTCCTCCCTAGTAATTTTAAGCCACTGGATCTAGACCTCTCTTCTGGAGCAATAAGAAAGCTCACTCTCTTTTGTGTGACAAGCTTCAAATATTAGGAAACTGGTATGATTCCTTCGCTTTTATTTTTTCTAGACTAAACATACCCAGATCCTTTCATTGTTCCCTGTAGGCTTTGCTTTCCAAACCCTTCACCATCTTGGAAGCTCCATTCCAAAGTGACTCCAATGTGTTACTAGCCTGTTTGAACTGACTCCCAAAACACAGTATTTCAAATGGGCCCAGACCAGGGCAGAGTAGAGTAAACCAATTGTTTCCCATGATTGAGACTCTATGGTCTTCTAATGCATTTCAGTTGCCTTTTCAGCAGCAATAACGCATTGCTGGCTCACGTTTAGCTTATTGTTTACTGCTCTAGAAATCACCCAAATGCACAGCATATATATGGAAAATCCTATGGTAGCACCTGTGAGTCAGCAAAAGTTGTTGATTCCTGCTAAAAAAAGATAATCACAAATAAATAACATTAACCAGGTTTTGTGTGTGCTGTGCTAATCCACTAGATAAGTTGGCAAAGTACCTGTTCAAAGCTTGGGCAGAAAGGGAAAAAGATTATTTCTTGTTGGGGAAACCCCAGTTCTTGTGACAACCTTGTCATATTTCTTTGCCAATTTTTTCTGAGCACATTCCATGGCCTGATGTCACTGACACAGTCAAAAGCCTTTGAAAAATCAAACTGCCCAGAGTCGCCTTATCGGTGAGATGGGCGGCATATAAATTTAATAAATAAATACATCCTGAAGCCAGGGTGGTCAACCGAAGAACAGTTCAACAGCAGCTAGTGTGGATTACAGTTAAACAGGAATTTGAACTGAGCGCTTTGTAGTTTCCACTACATGTCCAGTGTCCTTTCAGCATCCTTGAAACTTGTTTGCAAGCATAAAAATTAAAGGGAAGCCCCGAGGCAACCAGCAAAGGCAGCCCCTTTCCTGGTCTTCCCATTGCAGAGACTTTTGGTATGCATAATCTCTCTCTTCTTTTTGGCAAGTTGAGCTTCGGGCCCCCACAGCCAATCCACACGGGTCACTTCCTCTCCTGTGTTTTGCAGTTTCTCCTGCCAAATTACAGAGTGTGAAAAATAAGACGCAAGGTGACCTTTGCCCCAAACATGACAGCTTTGGATACTACCCTTTTCTAAAACCAGAAAATCATGCATTTGACTGGATAAGCTTGTTGGTGTATATAATTTTGTGAGAGCGGAAAAAAACAAATGGCAAAAAAAAAAAAAACAGACTACTTTGTTTTTGTTCCTTCCTGAACCTAAGCAAACAATGGAGGAAAGCCAAAGTGGACAGCATGAACATGACACTCGTTTTATTTTTCCTTTCACTGATGGGTCCCAAATGTTCCCAGTATATTAGCAGCAGATCCAATTTCCTTATTCCTCTCCTGAACAAATCATTTGTTTCCTCCTACCAAGGGCCAGCATCTGTTGGTGTCAAAGGACCATGGCTGAAAAGATCATTTTTAACAGGCTTCACACATCTATCTATCTATCTATTTATTTTTCACCTTTCGCAATCCAAAGACTCTCACTGCACTAGACCATTTTTGTTTAACTGTGGCAGTGGTGGCGAACCTATGGCACGAGTGCCTGAGGTGGCACTCGGAGCCCTCTCTGTGGGCACACATGCTGTCGCCCCAGCCTCGCCTCCCCCCGCAGCCCCTTCCTCATAAGCAGCCCCCTGGAGGAGAATCACTCCTGGGTGCCGCCCGGGCAGAGCAGCGCATGGCAGCTGGGCAGCAGATGATGCTACGGGGTGCGGGTGGAGGGTGTGGCCACCATGGCGCTGCAGAGCCACCTGGGCGATCTGCCGCGGGCCATG